GCTTACATTTAAAATATTAGCATCACACTGGAATTTTAATGCTTAGGTGCATGTTGGTAACGTGACCATATAATTAAATGTCCAAACTGGGATGCTTTAAAAGAGAAATGTCAATAAATACACTCCAGCACCAGCCATAGACCAGGGATATCCTGGAAGGACTGGGACACCGGCTCATCCTATATACTGCTGAAGCTGAAATAGCAAAAATAAGCTAATTCATTACATTACAGCTCAGATCAGAAATCTGGAGGCAAGGACAAAACATACTATTTTAGAAAAAAAAAAAATTCTGAAAGCAAGAGTATTTGACCTAGGTCACAGGATGGATTTCTTGAGGTTCAGGAAACCCTTATAACCGGATACAAAATTCTGTGTGTGGATGCGTTTTTTTCTGAGGGGCTGGGGTCACTGTTTCTATCATACTTTTAACGGTGTGTGTAATCTGTAAGACTTAATAGCCATTTTTAAAGCGTCATTTCTATTTTATTGTTTCTTATCAAGATTTATTTTTTAGGGTTTTGGGACTCTCCAAAGTCATGTGGTAACAATGACATCTTCAACAGTTACCAAAATTTCGACACTTCTTATCAATTTAAGGTCAGGGATGCCAATTCTAGACAATGCTAACTCCAGACATTTAAGAAAAGAAAAAAAAATCTGCCTCCCTCTCCTGAATTATCCGCTTTACTAATTCCGTGCATAGGGATATTGTTTAAGGGTCAGTATTTCAAAACCATTCCATTTCACTATCTACAACATAAAATTGTAGTTTCCTTTAAAAGTTTCCTCTTACCAATTTATTCCTTAGTGAATAACGTGGAAATGATATGGGTACTAAGATTATATGTGGCATTAATGCAAAGCAAAAATGCTGCCTAAAGCACGTTTTATATAACTGCAAATAAAAATGCTAAAAAAAACACCTGCTGGATCTTGTACTTTAACCTCCTCCACTTCAAGCAGGAGTCCTTATTATAATCCCGAGCTTCCAACTGGACAACACGGCTGCACTTCCAGTGGATTTCACTACCCTTCCTTCCAGTGAAATGGCCTCCTGGATGAGGGGCTCCCACATGATGTAACCTTGGAAGGGGGAGGATAGGCAGGAGGGGAAAATCTCCGATGACTGGTTTCAAGTTCAAATTCTTTATAGACGGCCTGAAACTGTGGTCAGCTTTCCGCTGTAAGCAACACACAAGGTTTACTTTCTTTCCTAACTTTCATGCTGCCAGAATACACATGTACTTTTACTTTCTTAGGAGAAAATGTGTCATTTGATTTCCTTCCAGTTTATGTACTCGTGCCAACAACTAAAATGCTTAAAGAACCAAAATGAATTACTACCCAGAAACGGTGGTCAAAGTTCCAAAATTCGATCAATAAAATTGCTCATCTACTCACAAATTAATCTTCAGCCAGTAAAGTTACACATTTTCGAGGTTATGAGCACACCTGCACCGTTAAGCATTTATTTCACTTGTTTAAGCAATCTTCAGAAGCATATAAATATTTATAAAAGCAAGCCTACTATTTTTACCCACATATAATTTTCTTTTTCTGCAGCAAAACCTTGTTAATTCTTTTACAACTCATAAGCCTCCTGAAGGCAGGGTCTGTACCCTTGGCAGTTTCATGTGGATAAACATCAGCAGGACGCCCTGTGCGTTGAGGCTGATCCAGAAATGCTCAGCAAGTTGCATTTAATAAATTCAGATCCTCCTGATCCTGAATTTACAATGGAGCCAATTTTCAGTTTTCATTTGTATCATTCATAAAAAATTTGCAAGACAACTCCGGAGACTAAATAAGGGGCGATTTAGGTTACTAAGTAGAATGTTTTTTAAGAACTTCAAAAGCAATATCTATACCCGATTAATGCCTGCATTATGTAAACCACACGTCGCCCAAGAATGGGGCCAGCTCAGATTGAGTTCTGCATGTGTATCTGGAGAGAGCGTTCCTCTCTCTTATTTACTCTCATCTTCCTGAAATTAGTCCAAATTGCTGATGTTTGACTACATTTTGTGATCTCTATCGAGTAACCACTTAGAGCCTCCTCTAACTTTCCATTCTCTTTTGTTTGTTATCATCAGCCTGTGAAACTGGAGAACGCTGCCAAACATAAAGCAGGGAAGTGTGAGATATGCCTAAAATATAAGTCACAGTATATTTGAGGATTTGGGTTTCTTTCTTTTTTTTTTTTTTTTCCTCAAGCAATCAGCAGATCAAATTCTTCTTCCCTGTCAAGCCTTCCTCTATGCGGAATATCTGAAATTTGCTAAAATAGGTCTCTCAGTGTGGTTATGAAGGGTATGAAGAACAGAAATGAACACTGTTAAGGTTTGTGATAGGAGTTCCCTTTCATTTCAGAGCCACACTGGCTGAGATGCCCCAGCGAGGACATGGAATGGGCGAGATCTCTTGAAATGTGAAGGTTATTCCTTCCGCGAATCACTGAGTCTCCATACATATTTTGAGAAGGAGGTAGTATATACCATGTGACCTAGGCTAGTAATTTCTCCTCTCTGTTTGTGGAAGGCCAGCCAACCTAATAAAGCCTGGTGAATCTGCATGACCCTACCAGGCAGCTGACAAGACGCAGTCTATGATGCACATGACGCACACACACATACAGCCAGTCAACCAACTCTTTATTTCCCCCCCGCCCCAATCAGCTCTTAAAGCTGGTCTAAATTCTATGCTTGTCAACTCTCCCACGGAGGGGTAGGAAGGGACTCAAAACATCTTATTTAGCAAAACCAGCATTCAAGATGGCCCCCTCGCCCCGCACTTTTTATACAGACTGAAGTGCTCAGCAGAATGTGTTAGGTTGGTTTTGACACTGTCTTTGCCAAGAAAAATGAAGCTCTCTGTATCATACTCTTCTGGTGGCTAAAAACCTTATAACGGGCAAGAAAAAGAGCCCTCCAAAGGAAATCCCCTGAAACTTTACTTCATATATTTAGCCCTAAAGCAACTTCGTTCATCTTGGAAAAGAAGTTACCTAAAAATGCCATATGTCTTTAAAAAGCAAGTATGAGGGAATATAAGTCTAGTATAAAAAAATTACATATGATATTCAATACTGAAGAGCAGTGCATCAGACAGATTGTGTATGTGTGTACTTTTTAAAATTATCCCTAACCAAAGCTCTACTACGTGTAAGATTCCCACCTCCCCCCAATAATATATTGTCATTTTTCCAATGCACTTGAGGTCTGATAAATTCAAGAGGACTCACAGTATTTTTAAGGCTGTTAGAGCTCCAAGAGGGAGGCAAAAAGAATGGACAGTCATTTGAATCACTGAGTGACAGGCTGGGCTAGTTCCCTGTATACATTAATAAATTAGAATTTTAATTGTGTCTCTGTCTGCAGGAGATGCCCCAGCACTTTAATATGTACCAACAATTGGCTATGTTCTGGAATCTGCAATGTGGCCTCTGCAGCTGACCTCTGAAACACAATTCCCAGTCTGACTACGGAAACTGTTCAGTTTGATCCTTTCAACTTATTTGAATCCTGACAAATAAGCTCACAGCTGAAAGGTCAACCCAGTCATATTTCATCCTCCAGAACTGTTCTTAAGACATCTGCACAACAAAGCACTTCTTATAGCACCTGACATGGGACCTCAATGGCACTATATCTCATTAAAAATGTCCCCAGCACTTACACACATGACAAGGCCTATGGATTGGTGATGACGATTTACCAAATAACTAACTGGTTTTGGAAGTGTTAGTCAACAATGCACATGGTCATCCAACTGTTCCCATCCAGTGTTACTTTACTGCCAAACTTGCCCTAGACAGTGACGGCTTCCCAAGTAGATGTAGAAGAACTAGGACTTGTTCCCCAAACATCAGTTAGATCTTTGCAGGATAATTTGGGAACTGATGTTGGTTCACTCTGATCTGAGAAAAGTAAACACAAGCTGGAATTTGGGTTGACCTCATGGTCAAAGTCACTGGAGCCAAGTTATACCCAACAGCTACCATTTACAAGTTTTGTCCCCAAATGTCCAGTGTGAGAAACTCATCTTTACTTCCTGTTTTGAGGATGCCCACTCTGAGCTATGGAAGCAGTTGAATCACGTAGTACCTGCAAGTGTCCTGTCTCAGATGTGAGCACGAACACCCTCCATCAAGTTTCTTTGAATTTTCTGTTACAATTTTCTACTCCAAGTCAAAAATCCAAATTAGATTTTTATGAACTCCTTTTTCTACTCTGTTAGCCCCTGCCCCCAATAGGGCTGAAATCAGAAGTTGCTAAAACAGTCTTTTTTGAAACCTTTACAAAAAAAGTGCCTGCCATTTTTCATTAATGATCCAGAAATATTCTGAAAACATCCACTAAAGAACAAAATAGGTATTATATTGATGACTAGGTATAGTAAAAGTACTGTATCTTCCTCAGTCCTCCTAACAGTTCTTGATACAATTGACACTTTGGGACGAATGGTTCTGTGCTGTGGGGGATCTTCCTGTGCAGTGTAGGACCAATTAAGTAGTATCCCTGACCTCTCTATTTAGTTGTCAGGAGCACCATGCCCCCCCTGGGATAACCAAAAATTTTCTCTAGACATTGCCCTTTGTCCCTTGGTGGGGTGGGGGGAGGGTAAAATCACCCCCAGTTGAAAACCACTGCACTAAAGTTATGGGTGTGGGTATCGCATTTCCAGCCCCATCATGAGAGAATGAGGTGACCTATCTTGAGTACCAGGAATTTTTTCTCCTTGGTGCTACACGATGCCTATTAAGCAACCCACACCTGCAACTACTCATCCTATTACATCAACTCATTAGGAGATCTTCTTCCCAACAAACACACTCTTGGTTGAATAGACATTTTTTCCGAAATGTCATCCTCTGCTGGTAAACCAAAAAATGCACCTTCTGCAGAAGATTTTCATACGTGATTTGCAACTCCCAACACAATCCACTTCTCAATGGCTTATAGGGTATAATGTCAGTTTTTTCAAAAAAGAATAATCACCTGAAGGGCTGGTTGTTTGTCATTCCTCTTGGGAGATTTTAATCCACTAACTTGCTGCTGTTGTTGCTGCTGAAGGAGAAGCTGTCTGGCCACTTGAAGTGCCTGGAAGGAAAAATGGAAGAAACACGTTTGTGTGAGTACCCATGTTCGGGGATTCCTTCACATAAAGGATTCCAGGAAGTACAATTTAGGATGGGATCCTGACTTTCACATTTCCAGGCAAATGAAACAGCCAACAAAACTTCCCACCAGTCTAAGTTGGGAAACTTTCCACATTTGGTTTACGTTTTCTTAGATGGAGTCAGTGTCATAGCCAGCTCCTTAGGCATCACAATCCACCCAAGCAGATGCTTTATTCCTGCCATCAATGTGACAGAAGTTGGACCACGAATGACTGGGACCCTGAGGAAGGAAGGCAGAGCAGCAAGGAAGGACCTGGACAAAAGACACAAATTTAGGAGACAACAATGGGGCTCTTTTTGGAGGGACCTTCATCCTCCAATATTTCTTGGGGGAACTTGAGAGCTCAAGTCAAAAGTTAAGACTTTGACCTCTTCTGAGTCCAAATAAAGAGGAGAAGCTAAATGGTGAAACACGCTATGGATAAAGGTATGTGAGAAGGAAGATCAAATAAGGTAAGATATACCGAGGATGAACTGAAGAGACTGTGTAAGAAAAAAAAAAAAAGTAGCAAATGTGACCTCTAGGTCAATTCAAAAGGTACAATCTGTACCTGTGAACAAAACTAATCATGCCTAATACAAAACAACTCTTTTAAGCTCGTAACATAGGTGGTTTTATTTAAAGGCAGAAACTAAAGCAGTAATATGAACCGGGGATAAAGCAAAAGGTAAATAGAAGAGTCCTCCCAAGTGCAAAATACAGACTGACCAATCTTTTTTTAAAAGCTCAAGTAAAAAAAGAAAAAAAAAGTGTCATCAAGAAACCCTCATGAGAACATCTACTGTCAAAAATAATAGCCACACCTTTCCAAAGAGGGCAGCAGGATCAGCAAGAGAAGACTGAAGTTTGCAGACAATGTGCTAGAAAATCACACGAGAAGTTAGGCTATTCGAGTTAATTTGGCTGAGAACCAAGAATGTTCATGTGCAAGACATGTCAAGAATGTTCATTAAATGATGTGCTTAGAGTTTAGAAACAGAATGGGATTTCTTGGGGATTACATCAGTAATAATTTCTACATAGTAACTAATTATTTGTGCCTAAAAGAAGATGCACCGGTAGGTGTGGTCACCACAGCAAAAGGATCTGATACTAGAAGTCTTTGAAAGTGTGCATAATGGACTTAGGATGGTAGTGTGTTTCTCAAAGAGAAGTAAAGACTTCATTCGTATAAGAAAATAATGTACATAGTTTCAAAAAATGTTACAGTGACACCATGGAATGAGGGAAAGGTAGGATGTCCTGAAGGGCCCTGTGCACTGAACTCAGGGGGAAGGGAAAAGAGAGTGGTCAAGAAGATGGATCGTTCATGAACAGACACCTAGAAATGCCGAATCAGCAAGAGTAGTACTTCTAAAAGAACAACTTCACTAAACTGAGCTCATAACTGTACTACTGTAACAAAGAGTATTTTTTAGACATTTGATAAGGTTGAACGGTGCCTTTGTGTCTAAAAGGCACAAAGGGAGGCAATGAAACAGATGCACAGATAAATGGGTGACAAAGGAAAGATCTTGGGAAAGATGGAACCTTCCCGTCCCACCTCCCTAGGACACCCATCCCCTTGTCCCAGGGAGGCCTTCTGCCTACTGAACTCACCACCAACAACCCTTCAGATGTAATGTACAGGCTATTTCGTCTGTGAAGGGAGAGACATGTTCGAGAAAGCCTGCCTGGAAGAGCCTCCAGAAGAGAGGCTGTCTGAGAGGGGCATCTGGAAGCCAAGACGCCTGGGAGAGTTGCCCGAGACTCCAGCCTGCTGTCTCTGAGGAGGATTCACCATCACTGGACTCCGGGTTTCCTTGTCTCCTTGGAGACGCTCAGTACATGCGTAGGTGTAAAAGTGGGCAGAGTGAGGATTTCATTTATATCATATAAGAAAAATAGTCCCCTTTGCAAGGTGCCTGCAGGAGCAAAAGCCTCTCCTCCTACTATATATGTTCTCTTAACTATTTCACATGAGGTAGTCTTACAGCTTTTTAATGTAGAAAAGGGAACTGCTACATAGTCTAAGTGCTTGCTTCAGAGTTTCCCGAGTAATGAACGGATCAGCAAAGAAGGGTCTGACTGTTACCTGGAAAGGCAGGCAGAGGAACTGTAGAGGACAAGGAAAAGAGTGCAGAGGAAGACACGGTAGGGAAGAGGAGAAAGGTTAGGGACATTCGAGACTAAGACAGAGCAAGCAAAGCAAAGCAAAATGACGCAAACTCCGTAGTCACAAATCTTTGTTAAAATTATTTACCATATTTCACCAAGTATTTGGAGAACAGGTATTCAGTTTTTAAATAACCAAGTCTCAGAGAATCTGTACAGTGAACTCCTCATTTTGGCAAAAGGGATGGTATTTAGTGTTTTTTTAAAGATTTTTTTTTTTTATTTTTTTTATTTATTTGTTTGAGAGAGAATGAGAAAGAGCAAGCACATGAGAGGGGGGAGGGTCAGAGGGAGAAGCAGACTCCCCG